AATTGTCCTTGTGTTATAATGTGCCATGTTGTACATGCATGCAAATTATTGAGACTGTGGATTCCACAACATAACGAAAACACTCCTATGTAATGATGCTCACAATGTTCTCTGTGCTCTTTCAAACATTCCAGGGCGGGTATTTTCTCATCCAGTGTGTCGGGGATGTCATGTGCTGCATTCTACTAGAGGCTGAATATTGTGAAAACACTCACTTAAGCTACTTGTTTTGCAGGGCAGCATTTGATCTGTTTGCCAAATAAAACTCCAGAGTTTCGCCTCGGTAAGGAAGACTACATTAGGAACAGCTGTCTTCTGGCTGCTATGGCTGACCTACAATAGTTTGTGGCCTCGGGGGTTGGCTGGCTGTTCTCTGACCTCGTCCTCACATAACCCCTCTCTTTGTTGTTTTTCGTTGTTGTTGTTTTTTTTACATTTTTTTATCAGTTCTGTACGTTCTTATGTATGTGTATGTCTGGTACGATAAAGAGCAGTACCTGAATTTCTCCTTGGCATCTGAAAAACTCTCAGAAATAAAGTAAACAGGCTGGTATGTCTGGTCTTGATAGGGCTGCACTGCTGCAGCCTCTGGATCAAACTCTCTTGTCTCTGGTTCATCAGACAGAGAGTGCTGGAAGTTGAAAAAAAATGGAGAATTAGCTCACAGCTGTCTGTGTGTGCTGCATTAAAGGAAAAGAAAACAAAACGTTTGAACGTACCACAAGTTCACCATAAGAGGAAAGCAGCCCAGCTCCATAAGCCCTCACCTCACCATTTTGTTTACATAAGCCATACTCGACCGTGAACCAGTACAGCTGATGGAAAAACAGAAAGGAGGTGACTGAGAAGAAGTACAATCAGTGCATTAGTTACATGTTAGATTTTTAGACAAGAGGATGTCCAAAGTAATGCATTTTGAAAGATATTTTAGCAATAGTTAATTCCATTGTTTACTATATGGGATATGTAACTTAGTTCGTGCTCGAAGCATGTGTGTTCACCGCAGTAATATTGATAAAGTCTGTATGTGTTGTTTGTGTTCGAAGACAAAAGTCTTACTGTGGACAGTTTCTCAATATCTTCATCCGACGCCCCCAGTGAAGCCAAACCAAGGTTCTGTGGAAAATAATAGATCAGTTCTTGCTAAATAGCACAAAAGAACTGAATGATCTGTAAGGCTGCTAATCGCTTCAGCACTAACCTGTGAAAACTGGGCAAAAGTGCGATCAGCCAGCATGGGTACGTGGCCCAGTAATTCATGGACGCAGTCACTGAAGAGAAAGCAAAAGTTATTTCAATTCACGACAATGTTTGATCTCGAATGAAAAACACCACACAGTTCAGTTTGATTAGATGCAGACTTTATGATCACAAACTGGAAATTCAATCTGATTACATAACAGCTACAGAATGAAAGCAAGCTTGTTCTCTGAAGAAAAACAGCTTTTGCATATGGCAGCTTTTTAATATGAATTGTTGTTGCTATTAGCAGATGCTATGTGTAATTTCACTTGCATTTGTTTTTATGGAGTTATTTCTGATTGTATACTTTATAATTAGTTGAAGCACAAAGCCAAAAGAGTCACAGTAGTACTCACGGTTCTGGGGAATGCATGGGGGAGGAAGCGTGTCGGATGTACTGGGTGCACTGGAACACTCGGAATGCCAAACTGGCCAGAAAATCTCTGGCTGAGAGCAGGCCCGCCACTGGACGCAGCGCAAATCCTGTGCGCTCTGCATGTGTGTTCAGGGGGATGGTGGTGAAGGGACAGTAAGCAAGAGAGAGAGCGAGAATCAAACCCTGATAGGTGGAGTCGACATTCGCCAAGCGTCTGTATTTACGTATCTTTTCTTTTCATTTTGTCTTATCCCATTTTTACCTTTGAGGAAGCGTGACACATCTTCCAGCTGGGGAATGTTGTCTGGGCTGTACCCACAATGCCTTTCTAGGAGACAAAAAGCCTCAAGGTATTCACTGCAGGCATGGGTGGTGTACAAGTCCCTCAGGGTTGAATATACTTCTCGCCTAAATCAAGATTTAATTACATAAAAATTGAGATTTCATTTATTAAAATCAAAATCTTGGAAAAAAAACTGGAAATAAGCAAAACTGCAGTGTAGTTTTAGAGTTATGGTTAGTGTTATGCGCCTGTTTAACTATTTCAAGCAATTTATTTCTTACATCATATTTATAGAGCTCTTTTTTATTATGCTGTTTTTCTTGTATCGTATAAATCTTATGAAAAAGCACGTTGCTATAATTTTCTACTTTGTCTGGTGACTAAATTCATTCATTAGTGTCTTTTTTTTGTCCTAAACTGTTCAAGTAAAATATAAACATCTATTAACTTGCAAACAACACTTTGTTCTCAGGCTATGGATATGTTTTTTATTCAGACAAGCTCGAGCTGTCACCTCAAGTTTATTCTCGTGACACCCTCCATCTGAAGTTAATTTACCGAAGCATCCATAAAAGACAAATCATATGCAAATGACTCATTGGTTGCTGGGTAGACCACAATGTGTTGACAGTAAAACAACATAACAATGAAACGTATTTTAGTAGATAAAAACATTTTGTGCTCACTACTTCAGACTTAACTTTTCATATCTTATATTATCAATATTAAAAACTAGCGTGAAAGAGCCCCTTACCATGTGCCAATCTCCGCCTCTGTGTATTCCACTCTGGGGATCGAGTGCCCACTGAGGACAAACATATGCACACAATTATTACATTTCAATTTTATGTCTATTTTTTTATGGTTGTGTGTGCAGTATTTAGGAAAACGCCCATCTCACTATCTGTATCTGAAGGCAATGTCACCAATCATTCTCCTCCTCTGTCTGTAGGCAGGATCTGTGTAGCCCTGTTTAAATCAAATATACCAAACACAGATCACATTTTCTGTAACAAACCCAGTAATGACAGCTATTTCTATTCAATTATTTCTTCTTCTTGGCAATGTCATTACTTACTGGATGGTCATGGTCTAAGTCTGGATCAAATTTGGTGACCAGATGATGACACCTATCCAAATCTGCAATTTTCTTTGGGAACCAGTGGACTAGTTGAGAAAACAGGGAGAGAAAAAAATAAACTGTTCTGTTTTTTGCTCACTTCTACAGACTATTTAAAATGTTTCATCAAAATTATTTCATCAGTTACATTTGACTTCTTTAGTGGTTTTGACATCCTCTGCGTTCCTCTTTATGGAGCTGATCAGGGTACTGACATCTGAGAGGTGCACCTCACAGCGGACAAAGTACTCCAGGCCCTCAAGGGTGTCTTTGACCTTCCGGCATGGTCGCGTCTCCAGATGGTGAATCTTAGCTTCAAATGTCTGAAATACAGTCAGCAAGCTGAGATGTGACTGTGGTAGCAGAGATCCAGAGGTGAGAAGTATTTGTGAAGCACAATAACTGATTCTGGATGCACACTTTCCTGTTCAAAACATGGAATAACCCCCCGCCCCACCCACACATAGATATTTTTTTTCCAAATGGTTTTCTTCCATGACCTTTTTCGATACTTCTGTGTGACTAAAATGTGTAACCAACTTTAACAATAGCCAATAAAATATTATTCAACCTTTACATATCCACTATATTCCACTAACATAAAAAACATTTTACAATTACCTTGTTGTGAATCTTGACTACTTACCTACTATAAAACCGGTTTTAATTTTCCCACACTTATTACAACCCTGTTGTCTGGGTCATAGCTACAATATTAGAGTGCAAATGTTTATAACTGTATTATTACCAACTATACACAAATACCGACCAATGGGAGTCTTTGCAAAACAGCAAATCCAGTAGCTTAGTGTGAATTTATGAAGCATTCATAAATTAACTATTAACAAACAAAATAAATAGTCACATATAAATCAAAATAAATCTTTTAAATATTTAGTTACCCCTTAAAACTCTATTAGAATAAATTGTGATGGATTACCTCAAAAACCTTGAGTGTCCGCGACAGCGCAGGTGGCTTGGAGTTTTTTAAAGTAAAGAAAATGTTGAGGAGTGCTTTTCCATCGTCCTCCTCAAACACTATCTGTTCACTGGCCTCTGCAGCCCCTGCCGCTGCAGCAGCTGCTTCCCTCTCCTTGCGCGCGTCCTCGATCAAGCTCTGCCGTCTACCGACGAATCTTGGAGACTGTTTTAAAGAGAGAAATTAAAGTTCTGCTTGTTACGATTAAACTGTAAGACAGTAAGAAAAGACAGACACGACACCACATGGACGTAACTGATGGGCTTTGCTTACTTTTTAGATATCTCCCTTGATATTTGATGGGTGCGCTTTACATCTCCAAATGCGCATTAGATTGGCAATGCAATCAAGGTAAACCTTACGACATATCTAAGAGTAAATAGCGACCACAGCACACATTTTAGCAGATTTCAACTGTAAAACTGAAACGTGCGGGATTTGTTTTTCCTTCCTGGGAAGCTGTTCGTTTGAGATGTGCGCCAGACAGCGACGCTGCGTAATGAACATCTTGCCAAGTTTTCTTTGTGCCATACAACAGTTTCCGTGATTTTTTAACAGATGACTCCACAGACAATCACAGATTTCTGTTTGTAATTTAAAACAAACTTGTGTTTTCTAAAATATTTCTTACCGTGATGGAATCAGATCTCTCCAGCTCGGACGCTGCTCTGCGGACGCTCTTTGTGGAGGATGTGGAGCTGGTTGAAAGCGGCATCTTCAGGCTCGGAAGTCTGTATTGACTTAGCTTCTGTGGCAGAAGTGGTAGTATGGTTTTGACGCTCTCTAAACCTCTCAGTCGGTGCTGTGTGCCCACAGTTTTTCTTTTCTTTTTTTTCTCCACGCAGGTTTCCCCTTTTTATGGGATCATTTGTTTGCCGTTTCTGACGTCAAACACGCTAATCTCAATCTAATCAATCAATGCGCAGAATCTATCAGTCTCATCCCAATTTGGAGCGCGCTGTATAGTTTGAGACAGAGCTCTTTTTTGCAGATGTTTGGCACATTCTCATTGGCCTTTATAAATGCACTTATATTTTCGAAATTTGGCAGGTAAAAAAGGCAAACACGTTTCAAGTTATTAGGGTAAAATTAGAAGTAAGAGAACTGCAAAATGCAATAATGTGCTTTAGTATATTGTATGAATAAATTAATATACCGTTTTCTTAATTAAGTTGTTTGTGTCATTAAAATTTAAATAAGTAAGGTGAAGCTTTGTGTTGTATTTCAGCAGCAGTTGGATACACTGTAGTCATTTTTAGACCATAATTTAAGCTTTGACCTCAGGGCTTTACGTAAAGGTTAGACCAGAGAAAAGTCAACTGTGGAAAATTAAGTCACTTTATCAGCTCAATCCAATCTCCACAGCTCCTCACAAATTAGATTTCATTTGGAAAAAAAAGGGAAAAAGAAACACATGCACAGACAGAAGAGAAAAAGAACAACGCAATGTTTTCCTGTTTTGCCTGCTCCGTTTCTTACCTCAGCAAAAGCCACATCAAGTGAATTTGTACCGCTTTTGCCTGACGACTTTAGGGGTTAACATGATTGTGAGTGATGTACAGTGCCCAGAGGCAAGAAGAGGTAAAATTATTATTTGTGGACCTTTTGCCACTTGCTCTCACAGCAGCAACCATACAAGGCTGCAGAGGAGGCAGGTGGGGCCCCAGTGTGACTCTTACTTAAACCCGAACACACAGGCTCAAAATGCTAAAGAGCACTGATGTTGCCCTGGGCGCAGAAAATGCAGGTTGCTTCCTTAATTGAAGGAGAGCTAGTCTAAAGAAGTAAAGAAACCTGAAACAGACAGTACGATAGATACTACCATTCCCTTTTTGTGAGCCTACAATTCTGCATGGAAACAGTAAATTGGTGCATCTTTTTTTTTTTTTTTAAGCTAGTTATGTATTTTTTTCTCTGTATCACGACCTTTTTAGAAAGGCATGACACAAAAGACTTGGCAATAGACATAAGGTTGACATTTATCCAGAGATAGGAATAATTTTATGCTATTTTATCCATCCATGTCTTTCATGTGGTTTAATTCTTTCTTCAGGCAAATTACACTTGCAAGGGGCCAAAAGTAGTTGAACAGATGACTGTAAAGCTGTTTCATGTACACATATAAATTATTTATTCATTAGTAATTTAAAAAATTAAGCAGGTAAAAGGTCAGGAAATGATTGCAAGGATTGTATTCTGAAACCTTTGCCTTGAATCCTCAAAAGACCCATCAAAGCAAGTGAAATAGGCAATATTTATACTGTATGTGAAAAAAAAAATCCAACAGAGCGATAGCTGGGACATTAGAAGTGTTGAAATTAACAGTCTGGTACATCCTGTGAAAAGCAGAAAACACTGGTGAGCTAGGCTACACAAAATGATATGGATTTAGCACAAAAAAGCAGTGGTGTATGGTCACATGATCACTCCCATGGTAGTGAAAACTACCTTACATTAATTCAAGTAAAGAATACTTTCAAGAGGATGGTGTGTTCAAGTACTGACTTCACTAAAGTAAATACAGAGGCCTCAGCAGAAGAGGCAAACCAATGATCAGTGATCCCTCTCGAGAACAGAAATCAATTAAGCGTTTTCAATAATAAAAAATAAATAAATAAAAAATCAGGCTAACTCTGAAAGAGAATATATTGGATAGCAGAAACTGAGTTCAATCTTTACTGAAATGAGAGGAAGGATCAAATTTAGAGAAAGGACGTGAAACACATTTCTTTGGTTATCTGAGTGGGATTCAGACTTTAGAAATCCATTGTCTGCAAAAATTCAAAGTATTTAAAACACATTTTAACATATGATGGTTTGTTCAATTATATTTGAAGTGCTAATAGACATATGTGTATAAGAATTGTTATTCCTAAATCTTCAATATATTTTTGTTCAGCCTGTTTAACTAATGCAGAAATTCTGCATTTCATCTACATCTCAGTTGTTTAATTTGAAATCTGTTCTGGTGACATTTAAAGCCAAACTCATTAAGAGCATCACCTTCTACATAATTCCAGATGTAACTGTAAATTATAAGAGCTGCAAAAAAGATTACTTGATGTGATATTGATTAAAAGTTGTATTAAAAAAAGTGAAGAAAGAAATGTGTTAAAATTGCAAGCAAACAAAAAACATTTGGAGTACATGTCAGTGTAAAAAAAAGGAATTTGGTAGCTCAGAGAATGAAGTATCGTGGTGCTCGAAATAGAGAAGAGTGTTCCGGAGAAGAATTGTATTCCAAAATACTAGAGATAAAACCCGAGTTTATTTAAGTACAACCAAATTCAGCGTGTCTGGGGAAGGACAGCAGAGCTACAGGCTGAATCAGGATGAAGATAAACTGATATCCATGCCTTTCCTCCCTCCAAATGTCTGCTTCCTGTGTCAGCACAATTTATCAAGACCATAGCCCACTGGACATCACATAGAGAGAAAGCACTCTTGATTTTTCCCCTGCTATTTATGTAACAGGAAGCCTGGCTCTGACATATAGTATGCATTATTTCTAGCCATTAATTTTGAAGTGATGTGGTGTAGTCTAGCCATTTCTGTGCCGATCGCAGTAGCTTCCCCTCGATCTTATTGTTTTCTACAGTTTTCCCTTCCCCGATAACTCTTAGTCCCCTCTTTTGTCTCTCTTTCTAACAGGACATTGCAATTGTTACTGCTCATCCAGTCAACTTACATACAGCCACTAATCAAGTCCCTGTGCACATATGCACTAACTTCACTCTCCACTATTTACCAGATCTTTCAGTTAGCATAAGTGACACTAATGCTAAGGGCGAATCTAACCAGGTCAAGCTGACTCAGCCAGCTGAGTAATCCTTGTTTCACTACATCTCTGATCTAATTCATGCTTTGCCCACTAATTGCGAGCCTCACCGAGCTCATAACTACTCTGTGTCCACCTGCCAGCTGTCCAGTTCTTAGATCCATTCCTTACTAACTAGTAGCTATTTGCCAACCTGCCATGTTCACTGCTTAGCTCACATTAAACCTGCCCTCATCGTCCTCCCAGCCACAACTTTAATGAAGCTTCTCTTCCTCCATCTTGCCACCCCCTTGCACCTTCTCCTCTTCCACCACCCATTTCTCCAGCCAGGATTTTGTCTCTTGTCTCTTGCATTTCTGTGTAAGAAGACATTTAATCAGAGGCTTCTAACATTTTTTTCAAAGCCAAATACAAAATTCATTATACTTTGGGATCATTAAGGGGAATAGCTCTGACCTGAGTTGCCTCTGTCTTTTTTGTCTTTTAAGGAGTTAGCTTGTTATTTCAAGTGTTTGTACATCTGCATCATACAAGGTCCCACAAATCCTACTTCTGCTCTTTTTCATGAGTTACAATAAAACTTAAACTTTGTCATGCTTTTTAGTCCTCAAACACTTTTTAGTGATTTATGGTCATGTCAGCAACAAAAGCCTAACTATTCAAACTCTTCAAACTATTTTCATGCAGTCTAAACATATTCTAAACAACAGGTCAGATTTTCATCAAATCATGTGTCCAAAAGTTAGATAAAAGCAGCAATTT